CCAGTTTTTTCCCCTAAAGAGTCATTGTAATGTCATTTCTGTTTATAACCTGAACAACTAATTTATTTAGTTTTGTATAAAATTCAGTTAGTAAATTTATACGAGTGCAGTGCAAACACGATAACAATTTGGTTCTGTTAGTCAAATAATTTTTGCAAATCATTAAAAATAAAGCTGCATAATTGATTTTACACTTTCTGCTTCTTCCGGTTACGTTTGTTTTGTTTTCCTGCGTTAGCTAAGCACAAAAGATATTGCAATATCAAATGTAATTTAACGCACACAATGTTATAAAAATAGAAATTTATGTAGCACTTTGAACATTTATGTTTATTTTAGAGGCTTATTTAATCTATTGAGAATGTTTTGAACTGTTTCAACTCGGGAGAGAATAGACAGAAAATTACCAACCCAGACAATTTCCGAATCGAGGAAGAAATTAAAGTGTAAAGTTAGTAGTGTTAGTAGTTAGTGTTAGCTGCTTGCAGTTCTGTGTTCGTTTTGGCTTTGGGCTTGGACTCGGTCTGACTTTGAGCCATAGGAAAGTTACACACACTGACAGTTGGATCATAATCTTTTTCTTTCTATTATTGAATAAAAGAAGGAAGATTTAAACGTAATAAATATTGATTCTTGTACATAGTAACATAGGCATAGTCAAATTTGTCAAATACTCATACCTCATACTCATAGTTTTAGCCATAGTTCATAGCCATTCATAATTTATAGTCGTAATTATCCAAGTGAAATTAAATAATATAATAATTTAATATTGATTTCATTTGAAGCCGAAGCTTTTGAAGATTTTGATGTGGGAAAAAGCCCAGAAAAAGGACTTTCACACTTTAACTCAACACTGAATTCCAGCTATTTCACTTTTTGTCAAAGTCAAGGTAATAGTTAATTTAGTAATAATAAATAGTCCGTTGGCATTAACTACAAATAGCCTTTGAAAGCTTCAAGGGACCTATGTGTAGTAAACTACCAACAGCTTCTAGAGAGCTATTAGTACTATTAGCAATCCAGGCAATTTAATCAAACCGAAACCAGAATTTGAAAAACACTTTCGTATTGCCCCGTTCATTTGTTACTAGTTCGCACTAGTTATAAGACCGATAATGAATAGCTATTTTGATACTTTAGGGCGGTCCATTAATTACGTCAAAAATTTTAAAGCAATTTTTTACCCCCTCCCACCCCCCTATTGTCAACAACTGTCAAACTTTCAGTGACACCCTCCCCCCCCTCCCGTAATTATGGCAATCTAGTTATAAGACCGATAATGAATAGCTATTTTTATACTTTCGGGCGGTCCATTAATTACGTCAAAAATTTTAAAACAATTTTTTACCCCCTCCCACCCCCCTATTGTCAACAACTGTCAAACTTTCAGTGACACCCTCCCCCCCCTCCCGTAATTATGGCAACATTTGTATACCCCCCTTCCCAAAAAAATGAATTATAATATAAATAAATATATTAATAAATTTTACTTTGTGATAATCTATTTTAATATCACAAAATTGTAGTAAAAACATTTTATTGCGTCTTTAGCTTGTTAATTAACACGTTAAAAAGTTTTTACACTTAAATTTTTTAATCATTATAATAATGCAGAAAAATGAAAAGGTTGTTAAAGACTAAATATCATTGTTTGTGGAAGTAGAAATAAGATTATTGTCAGTATAGCTGACAATTGTAGCATAGTTTCTAGCTGCTATCATCTTCCCAGGGAGGAGACAGGTGTTGCTCTATCGTAACAATGAGCATAGTAGCTGATTTATCATTTTCATGTTGGGCAACTGATATACCAGACAAGTCAACATTATCCTCATCTAACCATTCAGCACTTAAAAGTCAGTGTGAGCAATAATTGCCATAAACTCTCTCTCTGTCTCCTGGCAGCTACTTGCATTTCTCTAATCTTTTTTATTGAGGTGATAATTTCTTAGGTATTGTTGAGGCTGTTGAACTTGCTATTTCAACATGACTTGTGATGCAAATAGATGTTACAGATTTTGCAAATTCGTTCAAGCAGGAATGTTATTATTGTTCCTTACTGAGCTTTCCCTTAATTCTCAAAATATCATATTCCTACTCTTACAATACCATTTATCTTGACTGCACATGACTCTTGAAACTTGTCCTTGTTCCATACCTGCAACATGACCGCAGACATACTGCCCTAGTCATTTGCGACAAATAGAATCTACAGTCCAAGAGTGGCCAACTTTTGACTTCTCTTGCATTAACTAAATGTGCTAACATTCTGACCAGCCATCAGCAGTGCACAGACAGACACACATTAAATAAATCTTATATTGTTAAAAGCCTAAAAATTATACAACTATTTTAATTTACACTCATTAAATTTGTTAAAATAATGTAATAACTAGTCAATTTATAAGATTAACATTTTAATAGAGAAAACATGATTGTTGACATCAACTAATCTAAGCACCCCACTTTCCCCTTGTCAAAAATTGTCAAACATTTCCAATTAACACCCCCCCCCCCCACCCCTATTTTGTCAAAATTGAAGCTTTAAAAGAACTTTAAAATGCTGTCTTTTGAAAAAACAGAGTTCTATATAGCTATATAATTATAATTTATATTAAAGATAGATGAATGATACTGAAAGGGTGGGGGGGGGTATTAACATTTTAATAGAGAAAACATGATTGTTGACATCAACTAATCTAAGCACCCCACTTTCCCCTTGTCAAAAATTGTCAAACATTTCCAATTAACACCCCCCCCCCCACCCCTATTTTGTCAAAATTGAAGCTTTAGAAGAACTTTAAAATGCTGTCTTTTGAAAAAACAGAGTTCTATATAGCTATATAATTATAATTTATATTAAAGATAGATGAATGATACTGAAAGGGTGGGGGGGGGGGGGAGAGATCATAGTCTTAAAAAATTATACCCAGCTTCTTTTTTGCCTCAGTAAATTAATAAGTGCGTATCTGAAAAATAAAATCCAACTGAGGCTGAGAAATAAATTTATTGTAAACATTTTGTGTGTGCTAATTATTATGATTAAAATTATGAATTAAAATATAGGCCTAAATATGTCTATAATTACCATTATAATAGTTTTAGTGCATATTTTTTAAATCTTGTCACTTTATTGAAATGAAACAGTATAATAACGTGATTAGGCTTAACAATTACAACAGAGGCTTTGGCCAATCTCTATGCAGGAACATGGTGTGCCCCCACCCCCCTTGGTTATTGATTTTCTGGTGGGAGATAGGTCTAATGAGTATTTTTGGGTCATTGTTGGGTCAATTATTCAACTCTAACCTAACACAATTGAATTTAACATCTAGGAATCACTATTTATTATTTATTTTTTTATTGCTATGCAGAATCAATGTTTTTAACAGCACAGAATACATTGAAAACATAAGGCATACAAATAAAATATATACAAACAAAGAAAACTAAATGAATAAGTCTTGAAAATCCGATTTTGGAGCAAAATTGTAAGTTTAGACACAAAAAATAAATTTTGAAGTGCACCGTGACCTGACAAAAAACGTCGGTACATGTTTTTTGTCAACATATTATATTGGTGACACAAAAAGTCAGAATTTCATATACCTACTTAAGAGTTATTTCAGTAAATAATAATTTTTTAAATAGTGACTAATAATTAGCCAATTCTGCACTATATCAATCTGTCACCAATTAGTAGTTTTTGATAGAAACACAGAAAACTACCAATAAAAATAAGCTATTAAGTAGTAGAGTACCAATAGCTCTCTAGAACTAGAAACTATTGATAGTTTACTACAAATAGTTCCTTACCAAATACCATTAGAGACATACTTCATTGAAAATAGGCATAGTTTATGCTAAGTCTAAGTAAGTAGGCCTAAGTCTACGTGGTAGTCTTACAGTCTGATTTAGTCTGTCTCTAAAATTGATTAAAATGAAAATATGATAAAGTCTCTAGGACCAAATATTGTTGCTATTTTCCCTATATTTTGGCGTTGGGTTTGAAACTGAGACCAAGTCTTAAAGTAGATAGTGATCCTCAACCTGGTCTCATATTCACATGGGCCACAAATTTGAATTTAATTTAAACAAGAAAATGAAGGTGTAACTATTAGTATTAAAAGAATCTGCTGTAATAAAATTCTAAAAATTTTTTTTTTTAAAATGTTTCCAAGCAATATCTAACGGTTACTCTAATTTAGGGAATTTTATTAAGCATCTAGCTTTTTCAAGGGCATAATTAAGTATAGGTGCCAGGACCACTATGAATACCGCATGTTCACGGCACATGTAAAGCCACATACAATTATAGCTCTAGTGATTTCTGGTTTAGAATTACCAGAGAGACAAGGGATTAATTATTCAAAAGAACTAAGATTTGAAAAGTTTATCTTTATAATGAACAAAATGTTATTGCCTCTTTTCTTCATTATAACTTCATACTGTATGTTACGTTTTGCCCTAATCTCTGCCTTAGATCTAAAATCTCTTTGCAATAACAACCTCGGAACTCAATTCAAAATTAGGTATTACCCCATAATATGATCTCTCATATAATGTATATGGCAGTTGTTTGTCTCTGGTAACACACAAGTATGCTTGTTTGTACTTTTTACTAATTTACTCTGTACTCTATTATCTTTTATTAATATATGATTAGAATGTAATCCTAGAAATGTTCAATAACAAATACAAGTCCTGTTGTAAGGATATAGTAACCTCAGGCTATCGTTGCTTCAGTTTTAAAATGTGTGTTTTATGCACCTTTTATTCCCCCCACCTTTTTTAATCTGCAGACCTGTCACAAATATTTCCTGTAATCACTCCTTATATAATTGACTGGTTTCTGCAGGATTTAATAACAAGTCAAGTAGTAATGAAATTACATTTTTTTTAAATTTTAAAACTTTGTGCAGCATGTGAATTTTTGCAAAAGATGTATGCAATATTATTTCTTCTAGCAGATTCAAATGATGCCACCAGAATCTGAGCCCAGCAGCTTTATTGGCTCTATGGTCTCCATTGATTGTGGACCCTTGGGCACTTACCAGGGGCATGTCCAGAAAATTGATCCTATCATGAACACCCTGACTATCACTCATGCATTTCATAATGGTCTTCGTTGTGATCAGTCTGAAGTGAACTTAAGGTCTGTCAACCTTTAAATTGATATTTTCTTCTGAAATTATTTATTATGGAAATGAAACAAGTATTTCCTTTGAATTGCATTGACTTCTGTATTTCATTTATTTATTGAAATTACATTTCAAAAATTAATTTCTTTACTTACAGTTCAACTGCAATTCGTGATATCAAAATTATCCATGCATCACATGAGGCTAAAGAAATCATTACCAGAAAAGCTACTCCATCCAAAATGACCAAAGAAATAGATGAAGTAACTAAACCCATCTGTTCTTCGCCCATAAAAATTATCAAAGCTGCCTCAAAAGCTCGTACAGGCTTCCAGAGTGCTGCCCCACCTGGGTCAGGGAGTGTTAGTAATGGAAATAACAACCAAGGAAAGAGCAGTTGTCGACGGAAACTCTCGCCTCCCGACAGCCCCTCAAAGATAAACGATGTCGGAGTAGGGATGAATGGGACAAGGCCAAGGATAAGCAAAAGTGCAAACAGGGAGGCTTCAATACAAGAAGTAGTGGAGCATGCACAGGGAAATGGACATGGTATGTGTCATTCAGTCTTAAAGATAAGCTTACTAGTTTTAAGATATTTGTTACCAATTTCTTTTCCACTTCTTAAAGATAAGCTTACTAGTTTTAAGATATTTGTTACCAATTTCTTTTCCACTTTTTAAAGATGAGCTTTGATTTCACCATTTCGGTCCACTTAAGACCTTTTACTTCAAAACCATAATTTTTATTTCTTTTAAATGATTGAACAAACTTTGCCTGTGATATTTGTAAAATGTTTTAATATTTTTTATTTGTGCTGAATGATGCATTTGTCGACTTAGTCAAAGCCAACCAGCTGATAAAAATGTTAGTAAAATCTAGACATATGTACTCACAGTTTACTGTGGGTCTGTGTTCTAAGGCCACATTGTTGATTCTAACTTTTTTTTATAAATTTTCGCAACAGAGATTTCAAAATATGTAAATCAAGGATCTGCCAAACTTTGATCCATAAAAATTTGTTTAAATTTCTAAATACCCTGGGATATTCGGAACCTGGATCAATTGTGTCTAGATGATGAGGTTTCAGAGTTATACTATCAATGGTGCAACGACAGATTTTTTTTTTAAAATGCGAGTTGGGAATTCAATTGTTACATTTTTTTAAAAATGATTGAGCCTTCTGTATTTTCTGATCATTATTTGGAAAGGTAGAAAAGGTCATATCAGTATAATTTTACTATTACTGTATGTTTGCTGTTGCACTTGTCTGGAATGTAAAAGGTGTCCATTGAATATATTTACTGCACTAATTGAGATGCATATTTTTTTATATTAAAAATTTGAATATTGACAGGAAGCAATGGGGGACTTAAATATCAGTCTGATTATTGTGGCGATCAAGGGAGGAAGCCGTCGGCATCCCGGAAGATGGAGAGAGTGAAACGGGGAGCCAATTCTCGGAACAGTGAGTGCTTCAGTGCACCAACAGACTCATTCTTGCATGAATTTGACTTTGAATCTAATTTGGCCCTGTTCAATAAAAAAGAGGTCTTCCAGGAAATCGAGAGTGGTTTCCCTGAACTCAGTCTGGACCCTGATCCCAGTGAACAAAAATATCGCCACGATGAAAACATTTTACAGCCTGGGGAGAGCAATGTCCCTGTGATGAAGCAAGAGATTCAGGTCCCAGGGCCAAAGTCAGAGCTTTATTATACAGGTGAGATTAGAGTAATATCCTTTTGCAAATGGTTTCTTTTCCGTAATTTTGGTTTTGTAGCATACATTTTGTTTGACTTCATTTAATTAAACGAAGGCTTAAAATCTTTGTGATAAAAGTGTGTGATCTGTTTTTAAAGCAGGTATTTGGCAAATGTACTTGTGTTTTGTTTAATATTTGGTTTAATAGGATTTGTTTGTTTTTTTTTTAGTTACAATTGGTGAACTTCATTTTTCATGAGCATTAAAGTAGGTTCAGGTGTAGGAATCGCAATTAAAAAAAAAACGTTTAGGTAAAAAATGTGCTACAAATTTTATTGTTTTGTACCCCTGTGCCAACAGATACAGGGTTGGTGGTTCCTTCTATAAGTCTTGAATTGAGAGATAAACTGTGTGAGGCAGCATCACTGTGTGGTCTAACCTACACAAGGCAGCTAGAGGCATTTGGAAGGGCAGCTAGTGAAATGGTGATTCATTTGATAGGAGGCAGCCACAGGTACATGTTTACTTATTTGCTCACCTTTTCCAAGCAAAATCCACATTTTTTTTTTGTTAGTTTTCCCACAGTTTTATTAACCCTTACCCGCCCTAAATGATTTCTCCTTTTTTCAATTTTCAATAATAGCTGCATTAAAAAATGTACCTGGTATCACCAGCATGTTATAGAATGAAGTATATATTTTTAAGCTCCATCTGCTTTTCATTTTCCATCATCATTAGATCTAACATTTCCAGCATTTATCACTTATTATATGAGGCTAGCATGACTATTATGAGATACGTTTGATGACATTAGGTCTGTGTCTAAATTTCATCTGTGCCGTGTTTTTTGTTTTTGTTATCAGGATCCACCCAAAGAATAATCACCAGATGCCTGTTGTGGTGATCTTGTGTGGACCCCATGAGCACGGGGCGCTGGGCGTGTGCTGTGCACGCATTCTGTCCTCCCATGGGGTTCAGGTCTCTCTGCTCATGCCAAGTGCCGCCCCACTGCCCCCCATCCTGACGCAAGAGCTGGAGCTGTACAGATTATCTGGGAGCAAACTAACCCATACTGTCAAAGGTATGTGCGGTTGACTTTTCATTTGATAAGGTTTAAAATTTAATGAAGTTAAAAAAAAAACAAAAAAACCTTAATTACCAGTGTCAATGTCTAAGTGCTTTTTGTCTCTTCAATTTTAACCACTTCATTACTGATGACGTCGACGTGACATCACGGTCACCCACTTTCAATTACCAAGGACGTCACATTGTCGTCATAACAAAAATTTAAGAACTTTTCTAAAATACAGAGGACGTCACGTCGTCGTCAAATTGCAATGCTATTTATTTCCTTATTTGTTAATGATAGAGAAGTTAAAAAGCGAATCGGATAGAGAATGAAGTATACAGAAAATTTCATCTTTTAAGTTTTTTTTTGTTTACTGAGTCAGCAAAAATCGATGCCCAAGACCCTGTGGTAATGAAGTGGTTAAATGAAATTTCAAGTTACTAAACAAATGCACTTTTCCAAAACCTCTAATATGAAGACTATTTTATTCCTTCCATTTAATTTGATTTGTGCTATCTAAAAATGTTGCAGGTCTCCCTGATACCATAGATTTGATAGTCACTGCCCTGGACTCAACCACTGACCCTTCACTCACCCAGCAACAGTGGTACCAGAGTGTGGCTGCCTGGATGAAAAGTAGTGACATTAGGGCACAGGTCCTAGCACTTGATCCACCAGCCCCTGGGCCAGGCATCCCAGCAAAGTGAGTCTAAATAACAGGAGAGGGTTAGACTCTGATGAAGCTTAACAAGATTAAAACACACAATTTATGTGTGTAAACGGGAAAGTGGGGGGGGGGGAAGAATGTCAGTTTACAAATTCTATTTGTGTAGTATTTACTATGGTGGAAACCTGCTTTGGTAACACAATGTTCTGGTGGTAACCTGCACTTTAAGCTTAAAAAGATTAAAACACATGAGTTAAGTGTTGAAATGGGAAAGTGGGGGGGGGGGAAGAATGTCAGTTTACAAATTCTATTTGTGTAGTATTTACTATGGTGGAAACCTGCTTTGGTAACACAATGTTCTGGTGGTAACCTGCACTTGTTGACCACTCAGAAGAGATCCTTACATGATGCAATGGGTGGAAAGGCAGGAGCAGCAAACATGATGTTGAAAGAGTTAAGTTGACTAAGTCTTTCCACTGGATCAAAATGGGGACAAGAGCGGGAGGCTGATGAAATGCGCAAATCCCTTACCTTAATTGAAATACAGCCCATGCCGGGGTTATTAATCACACTGTCAAATACAGCCTTTTTTTTAATCTTTCTGAGAGATATATTTTAAGGAAATCACTACAAAAACAATTACTCTTCTCTAATCTACAGATGGAGCTTATGTAAAGTATTACCTCTGTGCCAGATTGCACCATCTTGTGGCAGCTTGTATTTGTGTGATCTCAGTATTCCTTCCTCCATTTTCAAGAAATCTGGCATCACCTATGTGTCACCCTTTGGATCCAAGTTTGTTATTCCACTTCATGCCCAGGCATAGTTTCCAGCAGCTGTTGCAAGCTCATTTCATTCAGTGGAGTACCAGCCGACTAGGATGTTAAGACTGTGGTTTAGTTGTTCCATGATGGTGTTGTTGATGAAACGGCTTCATCCCTTTTCAATGACATTGTACAAAAACTCTTCATTGATCCCCTTACCCATAAACTTCATGATTACTTTTAAATCTTAATTAATTCTCATAATGATGTTGTTTTGTTTTGTTGTTTTTTTTAAATTGCATGCACTTGTGTCTTTTATGCTTCATATTTTTATCATCCTCCTTTGTTTTACAATGATTCAAGTCATTATTCCTTATATTAAAACTGGGCAGCAAATTTAAGATTATGAAGATGTGACCATGTCTCTGGTGGTTTTTGCGTGTGTGTCAGTGTGCATCATTTCACTGGACCGAAAGACAATTTTAATTAATTTTTTTTTTTTTTTTAATGCTCTTCAAAATGTTCTGTTCATCTCTTGCTTGTTAAATTATTGCCTGTAATTTAGTTAATGAAATTATATCTTTACAAATGGAAGAGCTTTATCTTAAGGTAACACGATGATAGAATTGTAATCTTGTACATAAAAAATATTCCAAAATGTTTGCTTTTAACAAGACAAGTTAGGCAGTCAATTTGATTTTTTCCACACTGGTTTCTAAATGTGTACTGCAAAGTTACGAAAAATGTTCACTGTAATGATAATTGATGCCACTCCATGGACTGCAGATCAATGTTTGCTGAATTTCATAATTTAAAAATCTACTTTAAAAAAAAAAGGTTTACAAGCCATAATGAGACATGTAAACTGGTAGCTTAAAAAAAAAAGATGCTAATATTTTGTTAACATATTTTATATGTATTTCATCATCACCATCTCAATAACCTATTTTAATAACCCTTATCGCCTAACTGGTAATTAGCAGGGTGTGGAGATTTGCTTACTATGAACACTGAGCTAATTTTAAAAGGAGTATTATTTATCTTTGCTGATTCTTTACCTGAAAATTTATTTGCCCAAAAGGCACAGTTCTTCCCAATGGGAAGGAGTTTCTTTCTTCATCATTAAATTCTAAATGCAGGCGATGCTAGTTATAATTTTTATAATTGTAAAAAAATATCTAAGTAATGTCAACTGAGAAGTTGTCATTTTAAAATAGAATTTATATCTAAATGCGTAACACTTGTTATCCTAATAATTTGATATTTTAAGTGTACATATGTAGAAATGTCAATGGAATGTGTGACACCACACTTATTATGCAGCACCATCCTGACTTTGGGAACCGCCGTTAAGCAATGACTGTGTTTGATAGTCTCCATTAGGAAATAAATGGCAATTTTATTTCATTTTAAATAGGACAAATTGATCATACTCTTGTCGTACTACATTTTGCGAGAGGTATTCATGAAAATGGATCATACGCTTGTCATACTACATTTTGTGAGAGGTATTTCATGTAAATGGATCATACTCTTGTCATACTACATTTTGTGAGAGGTATTCATGAAAATTAATCATACGCTTGTCATACTATATTTTGTGAGAGGTATTTCATGAAAATGGATCATACTCTTGTCATACTACATTTTGTGAGAGGTATTCATGAAAATTAATCATACTCTTGTCATGCTACATTTGTGAGAGTTCATGAAAATTTATCATACTCTTGTCATACTATATTTTGTGAGAGGTATTTCATGTAAATGGATCATACTCTTGTCATACTACATTTTGTGAGAGGTATTCATGAAAATTAATCATACGCTTGTCATACTATATTTTGTGAGAGGTATTTCATGAAAATGGATCATACTCTTGTCATACTACATTTTGTGAGAGGTATTCATGAAAATTAATCATACTCTTGTCATGCTACATTTGTGAGAGTTCATGAAAATTTATCATACTCTTTGTGAGAGGTATTCATGAAAATTAATCATACTCTTGTCATACTACATTTTGTGAGAGATATTTCATGAAAATTGATCAAACTCTTGACATACTACATTGTGTGAGAGGTATTTCATGAAAATTGATCATACTCTTGTCATACTACATTTTGTGAGAGGTTTTTCATGAAAATTGATTATACTCTTGACATACTACATTGTGTGAGAGGTATTTCATGAAAATTTATCATACTCTTGTCATGCTACATTTTGTGAGAGGTATTTCATGAAAGTGCATATTCTGAGCTGGTTGAACAGTTCAGTTATGTGTCAACATACAACTGTGCTTCATGACAAATGTTATGTAAAATAGGTCACAAGGTCTTGTCTGCACCCTCTTAGTAGTTAAAGGTAATAGGCAGAGCACTGCAAAATTAACGTGGAATCTGGTATTGTACAGTTCAACATTAATGGATCATTCCAGGCTAACTGTGCAAACATTTTGTCAAATGTTTTACAAGAAACTTTGTTGGTATTCACTTGTCTTGGGCAGTGAGCTTATTTCTTGTGAATAATTTTTCGTGGTATTTTTTTGTTATTGAACTGATATACTGAACTGACAATCTGTTGTTGTTTTTTAAAAATAAAAAAACATGAGCTTTGTAATAAAGCCATTATTATTTGGATATTAAGGTCAGTGTGTCAATAACAACAAAATTGAGCAGATGCTGAGAGCTCTGGGTTTGAACAATTTTGACCTATTTTTAAGCTCAGGGGCCGATGATGACAAATTTATGATGTTTTTAATGTTCACTCATGTAAACCAAAGTGTATTTTATTGGATACTTCAAAAAGTTCAATGTAAATAGACAGCAAGGTACGTCATGCTGGTTTTTTTTTTATTTTTTTTTTTAACTTACTTTCTTCTCATTTTATTAATACTCCACATGGTGTCAGTGCGTCACACCCTTGTTGGTTAGCGTCACACACTTGTTGGTTAGCGTCACACCCTTGTTGGTTAGCGTGTGCAGGGTGGGGATTTTGGTGTTTTTTAATCTCAGGTCCCATGTTGTCAGTGATACTGTTGTATAAATTTCATCACAGTGATCTGCATGACCCATCAAATGCTGGATTGAATGAGGGCTGATGGCCCCGGTTTGATCGGGGTTGATGGTACTTTCTTGATTGGGGATGGATGGCACTCATTTGATTGAGGGTGGATGGTACTCGCGTCATTGAAGGTGGACGGTGCTCCCTTCATTGAGGGTGGATGGTACTCGCGTCATTGAAGGTGGATGGTACTCCCTTGATTGAGGGTTGATGGCGCTCTGTTTGATAGGTGGTCAAGGGTCCACTGTTGGTTGAGTTAGGGTCCTCTGTTGAATGAGGGTTAAAAGTCCTCTGTTGATCAGGGGGCTGATGGTCCTCTGTGAAGTATGGCTCGTAGGATTTGAATGATCATTCAGTTGTGCTAATGCCAAAATTTTATTGCTACATTGAAAGTTTTCTATGTGAATGCTAAATGTACATGTTGAGACTTCCAATAAGTAACTTCAAGCATTAGACAAAACCTTCTCATTAGATGGAAAGAATATTTTTTTAAAAATATTACTCACCTTTCAATAATTGTGGCAAAGATATCTGAAAAGTCATATTAAGAGATGATAATTAGACTATCTAGTCTAAATCTAAGTCTAAGAAGTCTAAGTCTAAGTCTAAGACTAAGAAGTCTAAGTCGAAGTCTAAGTCTAAGTCTAAGAAGTCTAAGTCTAAGT